GGTGTGTTGGATAAATTATTTAGCTTCATGGTAGTGATCCTTCCACAATATATAAATACATTGAAACAGTAAGTTGTATACCTTAAATATATGTAGTTTTTACGTGTCAAAGATATCCCTATAAAGCAGTTTAAAAAAAAAAAAAGAAAATTGAAAAGAAATAATGACTTCACAAGGGCTATTGAATTAGCCAAATAAAGAATTTTTAAATAAACAGAAAAAGACGGCCAAGAATTATAAATTCCCAGCATGGCTAGTAAAGGTTATGGACACCAAACACATTTCCAACCATTTTTTATTCTAATAAACAGGTTTATGGGATAAAACGGTTCCAAACATTCAGTCTTTCGACTTATTCTCCTCTCGAAAGGAGATCAGAGCTTAGGGGTGCAGGGGAGGACCACATCCCTCTAAGATATATGACCTGGACTATTAGAAGTCCTGGTAATACATTTAGATTAGGCTTTAACCCAGAAAGTAAAAGGAAGGCAACCACAAACTCTTAAACATCCTAAAATGTGAAATCTTTCCTAACACAATGAAAAGACTTCCTCATATAAATGACAGAGTAGTCAGACCCATTCTGAACTTGTATATCTTTCTTTTAAACAAAAACTCAAGCATTTCCAATGAAAACAAGTCTGATAACATATAACACCAGATGAAGAATAACAGATAAATCTTGCTTTGGGGTTCACTTTAGCTGAAAGTTCTAAAATGTCTTAAAACAGGTCCTATGAAACTTAATTGGATGTTTTGATAAAGATGAAATGACTTTAAAGGGAAAAAATATTTGTTTAAGAAGTCAAATCTTAATGTTAAAATTTTTCTTTTGGTATTTATTATTATATGGCGTAGAAATTACTTGCTAACTAAAGCTTATATTGCTGTAGTATCAATATTTTTATGGGAGAAAAATTGTGTTTGCAATTAAAAAATCTGAAGAGTTAGCTTGATTTCACTTAGCACAATTATTATGAAATGACAAGTTTGAATGATCTTTCCAATTACTGTGAGATAAGACTCCTTGAGGATGTTTATTTTAATATTTCTGTATTTATATTGACAACATTCTGGCAGCCACATCCCTTTGGAACAATATCATAATCTTTTTTTAGGCACCTCCACAGTGTGATGATTTTATTTCTTGTTCATCTAATAATTTTATTCTGCTCCAAAAAATTCTATTCAACTAAAGAATTCAATGCAAAAGTTATTAACTTTAAAAAATGCTTTCATCCTTTATAAGTAAGGCTTTTGAAATAATTTTTTTATTATTATTTTTGCTACTTGAGTACATATAGGTATGACAAGCCCTTCATTTAACCAGTTGTGATTTAACAAAATATTCTTACTCCTAATGTATTAATCTATTAATCCATACTATTTATTAGTCTGGAGATTAATTGGCCTTGCAGAAGATAAAAAATGTCACAAAAGACCTTTAAGTCTTCTTCAGGCACCAATATAAAGGTTGACACCACACTTAAGAGCATCCAGCTATCTGACTCATTGCCATTTCAAATGAACTGCAGTTTACCTCTTTGACCTTGATTTTGGCACAGACCTAATACAGTGGTACATATGACGTTACACACAGTATTCTTAAGTGCCTTATGCATCTGGAACTCCTTATGGGAAAAGTTAAATTAACCGGCTGAAGACAAAGCTAGAACTCTCAGAGACAGATCTTTAGTATCAAATTTAAAACTATATGCTTAAGTAATTTAGGTCGAAGAAGGATAGTTTCCACTAAACAACACACAATCCTAGATAAATGAGAAAAACACATTTGTTAAAAATATTACTTCAGAATATCTACTGGAGGATGTGAAGAACTGGACAGAAGCAGCAGCTTCTCAAGGTAGTTGGTACATTGTCTAATTCACTTGAAATGAAGAGCCATCATAAAGTACAAGTATGCATAGTCCATTTTCTAATTAGAAAAAAAAATAACAGCAGATGTTATGATGCAAAAATCAAAGCAGACTTAGTGATGCAAGATTAGCAATAGTTGTATTATCAGAGTTGCTCAATGAAACCTAACATAATCTTCCAGAAATTAGTAAATGTTGTAGAAAAAAAGTGTATACGGTGCCTTCCCTTATTGCTCAAACCAGGGTTGCAAGTAAAGGCAATTATCAATAGTCTAATATCAGAAATTGGGAAAATGAAGCACTGCTTACTTTCTGTGAGCCTAGAAAAAGGATGGGGGAGAAGGCAAAGGAAGGATTCTGCTCAGTATCTCCCCGGGTCAGGGCATTTTCTCCAGCACCAAGCACTGCCAGTGAGAAGGATGAGTTTTATATTTAATGCTTATTTATATTTTCACCCTGCTTTCCCTCCACTGATTTTTATTTTCCTGCACTCTTCAAAAGATCACTCAGAGAAGATGTTCTCAAACTCATAAAGTTAACCAAGCCTCTTCCCAGTCTCCCCGTCCATCACAGAACATAATTAACTCCAGAAGTTGAGTAGTTGTCATTTATTCCATAAAATCTGAGTATTTTAGCTCCTTTTTACAGTTCTATCATATTTGGAACAGAGTAATTATTAGCTGACAGACTTAAAAATATCAGAGCTAAAAGTGAGAACAGGACTGGAAAATCAGTCTGGAAAATTAATTCAGCAGGTCAATGGGATTCATTTAGGCTGAATTTGAGTGCTTACCGTTAGACTACAACACACATTCCAGTTACTTGTTGGGCCTCTAAGGACATATACATTCATAACCTGTGATCTTTCTCAAGAGTATAAGGTGCCCACATTAAATGTGGAGTGGAGATGAGAGAAAACCCGTTAAGTTCATTAGCCATTAAAAAATGAACAAAGGGGCACCTGGGTGGCTCAGTCGGTTGAGCGTCCGACTTCGGCTCAGGTCATGATCTTGCAGTCCGTGAGTTCAAGCCCCGTGTCGGGCTCTGTGCTGACAGCTCAGAGCCTGGAGCCTGCTTCAAATTCTGTGTCTCCCTCTCTCTCTGACCCTCCTCCATTCATGCTCTGTCTCTCTCTGTCTCAAAAATAAATAAACACTAAAAAAAAAAAAATTAAAAAAAAAAATGAACAAGAGGGCCACAGATAACCACTCATGGTAGGTTGGTGTCCTGCCCCTCTCCCCATTGTTTTAGCTTCTTCTCCAGCCTAGTATGAGTTTACCTAATGTATTTTTTTCAATATTTGAAATTCAAATAGGGACATATAGTCTATATGTTTATAATTTTAGATTTTACATTTTACTTTGCCAATTCATTATGAGTAGATGATAGATGATATCTTCTATAGTATCTTAATAAAATCCTAACAATTGGAGCCTTAATTTACTAGGTGACAAAACTGGTAAGTGTGAATTTCACATAACTGATGTTATATGATGTTATAATATATTTGATGCTTTGCCGAATGACAGAGTTCTACCTGTGATTGTACTTATCCCTTAAGTTGCTTGTCAGTCTCTTACTCCATACAAGATTCTCACAATGTAGCATTCACATCAACGAGCCAGTATGAAAGTTCCCATACACTCCTTACCAGCTTTGTGAGATACATGTTTTGGCTCACCTCTATAGCATATTCAAGCACGGTAATTCGAGAAAACTGTATAATAGGAACATTTCAAATCTGTACATTTTGGCTTTACTGATGTATGTTTGTTATCAGTTATATCTTGCAGTGCTATCACCATGCAGCATCATGTAGTACAGACGTAGGGAGGTTTTGATATTTGAGACGAAGAGAAGAGGTGAATCATAAAAATGAAAGGTGTAGTTTTTTCTGGTCAGCTCGGGGACCTCATTTGTTATGACACTGGCCTCCAAAGATGACAAACAAACTTGCTAGTGGATGTAATCCAAGAGCTCCATCTTCTGAGTAGAACCAAACACCATAATGGCTAAGTAACATAATTAATCCGGTTTCTTGCAAGATATGCCCTTTGGCCAGGTTTCCCAGGGTACACCATTTCCATTAGGATCTGCCTGGAACCAAAATGGTCTCTAGTTATCATGGATTCAGTGAAGGAAAATCTATCTGTCAGACCATGTGTGGGACTGGGGGGCACAGAAAAGAGTAAGACGTTGACCCTGATTTCAAGAAATTCTCTCATTAGAGTAAGCTGACATTTTTCTGAACCTGTATCTCACCACTTTGTGCTGTTTCATTATGAAAAGTCTAGAAGAATCAGCAGATATATATAGATAGATATTTTTTTCTTCTGTTCCATGTTCTATAGTATATAGTAATTTTGATCAAACCTCTTACTTGTCACATGTAACACTCTTCACTGTCAAATAAAAATCTCTCATTAAAAATATTACTATTGTACTCTGTATTTTATAGTTTGAAGAAAAATCTAGTCATAGACCACACAGATCAAGAAACAGTTCTGACTTATTATTATTTGAAGTAGACTTCCATTTTAATGCCTCAGGCCTTTACTTTCAGCTTAGAAACCATTAGCCACTCTCCACCTTCACCACTGCTCTCATTCCCATGCCAGGTTCCCAAGAAGTTTCTGTTTTCCAAACCTCCTTATATGCAAACTTCATCATTCATTGAATTGAATAATCTCAGGAAACTTCCAGACATCCAAGAAATCCAAACCAATATACCACTTATTTGCAAAGTGCTTGATAACATTGGAATCCAACATAAACTTAATATGTTGTTAATGTTAATATTGTTGCTATTCTTGTCACTAAAATTTAAGGGGATCCAAAAAGTGCCATATATTATGGTCCATTTCTACTTATAAATCAACCTTCTAGTTCTAATATGAAAATAGACAACATTTCCTCTGTAAATGAGATAAATTCTATATCACTTATCATATAAGAGTATATAAATAACCTAGCTGGAGATGCACATATTTAATTCTTTGTACCTTTCTTCCATCCAGATTTGTGTGCAACAAAATGGTCTTAATAACCCCAACCACAAAAGTATGCATTGAACCTACTACATATGGGCCTTACAAACTCCCTCATCTGGGATGCAGGACTTACTTGTTGCTGAGGCAGCGTCTCAGAGAGTAGGAGGCCCCTCCACCACAGGTGCGTGAGCATTCACTCCATGGGCCCCAAGCATCCCACAAGCCATCCCGGTCCTCCTCAGAGCGTGCTGTCCTGGAGCTCTGTGAGGAAAAAGAGAATGGTCAGTATCATGTCCCCATTGAACCCTGAAACATGTGTCCTAAAGTGTGGGCCTTTTGTATGTCTGAATATGATAGCCTTGCTGGAGATGAAAACATTTATTAGATTCTTTCCAGTTGAATAATGTGTTTGGGGAGAGGACTATTTGAGTTTAGAGACCCTGGGCCATGACTGAAAGGAACAAGGGATCTGCATAATGGAGCAAATAGAAAAGGGGGCAAGAATAAGGAATCTGGGTGAGGGGAAGTTAAATTGAAGTCACATTTTGCACTGAAGTCATGATTTTGCCTTGGGTTCATAAGTCTACTCATCTACCTCTTTGTGAAAACAGAGAAACTTCTCTCAGAGATGCTTCTGCTCTGAGAAGCTTGTAATGTGCATATCAGCATTACCTTCCAAAATTTAACATTTTATACAATTGATAATTTTTTTAATCGAGCAACATCATTTCCAGATTTCAGACTTGTTAATTACAACAACTGCATGAAGTAACTTCAGTAATGCAGGGATTGCCTCTTGGCAAATAGATCTGCTTGTTACTGAAAGGCTTCCTAGTGAAATCTGTATCTACTGTATAGAAAATTGGTATATGCGGGTCTCCATGTTGAACTTCACATTTCTCATAAGAGTCAAAGATAAAATATGTGCCATAGTTCATAGAATAATCTCTAGAGTTAGAAATTGCCTGGGTTGGATATGGATTTTACTAGGTGTCCCTGAACAATTAAATTACCACCTGCCTACACTAAAATTTCCCTTTCTATAAAATGGGGATAATATTATAACCATGACACTACATGCACACACACACACACACACACACACACACATACACACTATAGAAGAAGATAAGTTAAATGAACTTAGCCTAGGATAAGTTTCAGAGTAAAGCACTAATAAATATTACCAATAATTATGTTATGATAAATTGAGAATGTCATATATACGTAATAATACAGTGGTATTAATAATAATATACGTAATAATACAGTTGTATTAGTCTGCTTATGCTGCCATAACAAAATACCAGACTGGGTGGCTTAAAAAACAAAAATTTATTTTCTCATAGTTCTGGAAGCTGAAAGTCAGAGAACAGGGTGCCAGCATGCGTAGCTGCTGGTGTGAGCTTTTCCCTTGGGTTGCAGAAGGCAGCATTCTTACTGTGTGCTCACACGACTTCCACTTTGTATGAGCATGGACAGACAGAGAGAAGACAGAGTAGCTCTCTGGTGTCTCTTCTTCTAAGGACATGAATCCCCTCATGAGAGACCCCTTTCATGACCTTATCTAAACTGATTATCTCCCAAAGGCCTCATCTCCATATACCATCACATTGGGGGTTAGGACTTTAATGTATGAATTGCGGTGCAGGGCACAATTCAGTCCATAGCAACAGTTCTACAAATAGCTAATGTGAACTGGGGCCAAATTATTTTACTGAGTAAATCAAGCACAATATTCAAACATTACAGATGGTATCTTCTCGGGGCTGCCTGGGTGGCTTAGTTGGTTAAGCCTCCGACTTCGGCTCAGGTCACAATTTCACGGTTCCTGAGTTTGAGCTCTGCATCAGGCTCTCTGTTGTCAGTGCACAGCCCACTTCAGAACCTCTGTCTCCCTCTCTCTCTGTACTCCCCCCACCTCTCTCTCAAAAATAAACAAACATTAACAAAAAGATGGTATCTTCTTATATCAATCAAGGACATACTTCTGAAAAAATTAAAATTTCAAATTTAAATTTGGAAAAAACAAACCTGAAAGAAAATAGGCATGTTAGACAATATGACAATGTCACCTTCAGTTTTGTCTCTGAAGAGAGAGCACAGGGGATGTGGAATGCCGGGAAAGGTTGGGATGTGAAGGCAACAGGAAGGTAACCTCTTACAAAGCATTGTGGGAACTTGAGATAATGTAAATGAGGTCACCAGTGTATATGAGGTCTACAATGATAACTCAGATTGTTATTGCTGTTGTTATTATTTTTATTTTTAATTACTTTCTCATGCCCTACCTAGTTATACTCAAGGTTATATCATCCACACAGGAGGGGCTCCTAAAAAAGAAGAGAACATCCTCTAGCCCTTCAGAAAACTGTTTATTTTGTAGTAATGAGCTTCTTTGTAGATCAGTTGCTATGGGGCTCTGTTGTCACACTGGCGACTCCTTGGACCTTTTAAATGTTTTTTTAGTTTTTTTTTTATTTGAGAGAGAGAGAGAGAGAGAGAGAGAGAGAGTGAGCGCATGTGAGTGGGGAGGAGGGGCAGAAGGGGAGAGAGAGAGAGAATCCTAGGCAGGCTCCACATTTAGCACAGAGCTTGACCTGGGGCTTGATCCCACAACTCTGTGATCATGACCTGAACTGAAATCAAGAGTTGGAAGCTCAAATTGACTGAGCCATCGAGGTACCCCTCCTTGGGCCTTTTAAAATCTGGACAAGTTAAGTCAGAAACCTCACCTCAGAGTGTTGTATCAAGGCTTATGTAAGTGATGGAAGCTTTATTTAAATTCATAAATCATTTGCAAAGGGCTAGCAAAGGCTAGCATAGTAGTAAAGAGAAGGGACTGAAGGACCTACTCAACCTGGAGTAGAATCCTGGCTCCAGAGCTTCTTAGCTGTGACCTCCTTATCCTTCAGTCTTCTAATCAGAAAATAAGGATAATAAACACTAGTATTGTGAGAATTAAAATAACCAAATATAAAAATCACGTAAGGTTGTAACAACCCAGATGTCCATCAGTGGATGAATGGATAACTGGAATGTGATATACACACACATTAAAGGATGGAAATTCTGACCCATGCTACAACATGAACGAACACTGAAGATATCATACTAAGAGAAATAAGGCAGATACAAAAGGACAAATATTGTGTGGTTCCACTTAGATGAGGTGTGTGGAGTAGCCAGATCCATAGAGACAGAAAGTAGAATGGTGGTTGCCAGGGGTAGGGGGACAGGAGGAATGGGCAATTATTTTTAATGAGTACAGAGTTCCAGTTCAGGAAAATGAAGAGATTTCTGGAGATGGATCGTGGTGATGGTTGTACAACGGTGTGAATATACTTAATGTCACTGAATATACTTAAAAATGATTAAAATGGTAAATTTTATAAATTTTATCACAATAATATATACATACACTAAGCATTAATGGCTTTTACTGATACTATTTATTGTTACCATAATTTATAAACATAGATGTACTCTGAAAGGTTACAGGAGGTACTCTGGGAAGGTACTAGTGCTTTTTCTGCTGAGTGTAGTGGAGACTCTAGACTCTTAAGGCATCATCTCCCTGAAAACTCTGACTTTCCCACAGCAGAACTTTCCAGCCACCTGCCATATTACATTTGCCTGGTGATATGATCTGTCAGTAGTTAGAGGCTCCTCTAAAATGTGGAATAGAATGGGTAACAGAAACACACTGGTTACCCCAAAGTATGTTCTTTCTAAAGGAAGCATTTACTGAGCTCCAAAGCCTGGTTTTTAGGATTAATAAAATCAACCTCTAATCAAGGCAATATGGGGCACTCTGTTTCCAGAGCTTAATTAAATACTGAAGGAGAAAAGACTCTTTGGCAATGAAGTATACATTGTCCATACACCCATTAAATTCATTCTTCAGATTTTTGAACAGTTTACTGTGCATCTTCTGGCTCCCTTTTAGTTTTCTCTGTATGACTGGAAGAAGTTCTGTTGAGAGAGTTATGGTATTTGCTGGATGTGGTAATGACTTGTGTGACAAACATACATTTGTACAATACCATGTCCCTCATTTTATTCAAATTAAATAAGTCTGAGATGAAAAGCAAAATCACAAATGCTAGGATTCATGAAATAATTAAGAGCAAGATGAGTGATTACAAATTATGATACCATCCAGTTACTACAACCGAAAAAAATAAATACACACACGGTATTCACATGCGAACTCCATTTCCGTGTGAGATAAGAACACCAGAATGCCAAATCCTTGGGAGGTTTCCCTCTGGCTGCTCTCTGGATAAGCTGTTTTGGAAATAATATATAGTTAAGAATTTGTTTTTCTAGAGAAGTAAATTGTTCCAAACTCTGTGCTAAAGTTGTTTGGTATTTTTCACGTACCTTTTCCATCTAAAGTGAGGTTGTATCTTACCTCATCACAAGTTACAAGTTTCAGCACAACTAGACATAGGAAGAGCCCACAGTGCTCTGAAAGAGATCACACGCAGACTCAGAAGCAAGTCGTGGGCCTTTTTTCTCAAACTGGAACCATCTCCAAGGTGTCTTTTAGCAAGTGGAATAAACATAATTCATGTCAACTGAATCAATGTTTAATGTTAGAGACAGTAAAGTGATTTTCCCCTTCTTTTACTGTGCCAGATTTTTACATCTATAACCAGAAATGACAATTCAGCAATGCCTTTCGGGTCATTTAAGACCTACCAGCATTTGCTTATTATGGTTTTTAAGAAGGCCTTCAGTATAAACAACTTTTGTGTCTGGTCCAGATGGGACTCGAGCTTATTTTCTCTTATTTTGAAATGTGCATTCCTCTCCACAGTAGCATTTTGTTTTTAAAGTGTTAGCTTTGAGTTGCATCTAGCAAGAGAAAATGAGGCAAAAATAATAAGGTCTAGATAATGAGTTGCCTAAAAGCAACGATGATTGCTTCTGAAACCAAAATTCTAAGCTTTTAAAATATACCCCAGTCAACGCTTTCCAATTTGATTTCTGTCACATAAGTGTAGTGTTTCAATCTCAGTATCTCAGAAGCAAGATCATGGATGCTGTGAAACACAGTGACCAAGGGATTACCCATGACCCCACTTCGGGGAATTGCAGCAACAGTGTCAGGTGAGATGATGGTCATTTACTATGAATTGACTGAGAACTGAAGAATGGCTATTAAATTTTGTATTTAAGCCAATGTTTCACCAGTGGACTTATCCGAAATGGTCAATACTGCATCTGATATTAAACTTGAGGGAAAAGTCCAT